ACCCCGAGATATCAACCCCTGCAGCAGAGGAACCATATGGCAAATCCTGTGCACAGGCTGCAGAGGAACTGCACTGCAAAGCCTGCACTCCGGCTGCAGGGGAACCACACTGCAAAGCCCCCCCCCCGACTGCAGACCAAGTACAGACAGAGCGAGGGAATCCCCGCATGGTGGAGGTGGGCCCGGCTGTGATTAGTGCTCAAAGCTGATGTTCACCAGCTGTGTGGAAGTTCACGCCTTTCTTTGAGTTTGCAGGAGGTGCTACGCTGTGGAGAACATCCTCCAAAACACCAGTGGTGACCCAGTGCCTCCCTACGGATTACAGTCTGGCATCTTTAACGTTACACATCATGAAGACCTTAGAAAAGCTGTTACTTAAGAAGCTCAGATCTTCAGTTAAGAAGCACTCTGGCACAGGTAGGGATACACAAAATTATTGGGAGACACCCCTTAATAACTGAATTCAGATGTTTCATTCAGATTCATGATCACAGGTGTATAAAATCAAGCACCTGGCCATGCAGTCAGGTTTACAAACATTTGTGAAAGAATGGGTCATTATGAAGAGCTCAGGATGCCACCTTTGCAATAAGTCAGCTTGTGAAATTTCGTCCCTGCTAGATATTACACGGTCAACTGTAAGTGGTATTACTGCAATGTGAAGTGTCAGAGCATGTAAAGTAGCAGAGTGGGGTCATCGAGTGCTGAGGCGCATAGTATGTAAAAGTCGCCAACGCTCTGTTGATTCAATAACTGCCAAGTTCTAAACTTCCTCTGACATTAACCCCAGCCCACAATCTGTGCACCAGGAGCTTCCATGGCCGAGCAGCTGCATAAAAGCCTCGCTTCACCAAGTGCAATGCCACGTGTCAGATGCAGTGGTGTAAATCACACTGCCACTGGACTCTGGAGCAGTGGAAACGTGTTCTGTGGAGTGACGAATTATGCTTCGCTGTCTGGCAGTCAGATGGACAAGTCTGGGTTTGGCGGATGCTAGGAGAACATTACATGCCTGGCTGCATTGTGTCAACTGTAAAGTTTGGTGGAGGAGGGATAATGGTTGTTTTTCAGGGTTTGGTCTACGCCCCTTAGATCCAGTGAAGGGAAATCTTAATGCTTCAGCATACCAAGACATCTTGGACAATTCTATGCTTCTACCTTTGTGGGAACAGTTTGGGGAAGACCCTTTTCAGTTCCAGCATGACTGTGCCCCAGTGCACAAAGCAAGGTCCATAAAGACATGGTTGGATGAGTTTGGTGTGGAAGAATTTGACTGGCCCCCACAGAGCCTTGACCTCAACCCCATCGAACACCTTTGGGATGAAATCGAATGGAGTCAGAGTTGGTGCCTGTTTGATCCAGTCCTATATGTCTTGTAGCCCCTCAATCCATAGTGTATCTGCTTGCTCCCTGGGCTGCTACATAGAGCAATGGTTTGTATATGAAGCTCTGATGCTGAACCTCTTCAATCATGAGTTCAAGGCTGGCCCGAAACTAGCTACACCTCTCATTTGACACATTTTTTATTTTATCCTTAGCTTCCACTAATGTTTTTCTTGGTCTTCACTTTGTGTCCCTGTTTATAGTCTTCCCTACCCGTGCTTTGGTTTATCTTTTGTTTATACTTGTTTCTAGTCTTTCCTTGTGTAGTTAGCTCCAGTGTTGGTTAATGTTCCCTAGTTTATTGTGCTTGTTAATTGTAATGTATTCCACCCGTTGCTTGTTGTTCTGCGCCTTTAGTGATTGGTGGTTTTTGGTTTAGTTCCACATCTGCCCCTTTTTAGCCCTTGTCATCTGTGTAGATTTAAGTGCCCGTCCTCATTCTGCTCTTTAGTCAGTCATTGTGTGTGTTCTGTGTGTTAGTAGCTGTGTTGGTTCCCCAGGTTTTGCTCTGTTCTCTAGTGTTACTTTGTGGTTCTTTTAGTTTAGTTCTTATTTTCCCTGCTTGTTCATGACCCTTGATGTCCCTTTATTTTCTGGATTCTACTTTGTGTGTCGTTCTGGTTTGTAAAAAAAAAATACAAATAATCCCTTTTAAGCTGCTCCATGGATCGTCCCTCTTTTTCTGCCTGTGCCATTCACTGCTGTAATGGAATGGAGATTGTGAGCCAGGCCTTCATGTCCAACATCAGTGCCTGACCTCACAAATGCTCTTCGGGATGAATGAGCAAAAACTCCCACAGACACACTCCAAAGTCTTGAGGAAAGCCTTCCCAGAAGAGTGGAAGCTGTTATAGCTGCAAAGGGGGGACCAACTCCATATTGATGCCTATGGATTTAGAATGGGATGCCATAAAGGGTCCTGTGGGTATAATGGGCAGCAAATTCCCTGAACTGTCCCAATACTTTTGTCAATATAGTGAGACTTGGAGTTTAATTTCACAGATGTATCAGTGGATGAGAGTGTCTGTGTTTTTGCCCTGGGTTTTGGCCCATTCTGACACCGATGTCTGAGTCCACAAGCTGAGAGAGACCCTGGTATCTGGCACCTGTATGTGAGTAGAACCATTGCCCAGCCTGGGAGGGACATGCCCCAGACACACAGACAGGTGGTCACCCACAGACAGGTGGTCACCCACAGACAGGTGGTCACACACAGACAGGTGGTCATTTCCCCTCCGCTGCCTTTTCTCTTATCATCCAGCTCTAGCACATTATTCTGGGGCCACTGTGACATACCATGTGTATCTGCATGTAAGTCCCTGCATGTTTAATCTCCAAGCCCCCAGGACACAGAGCAATTTTCAAGATCGACTTACAAATATATTTATAAAAATACTCAGTGACTGAATGACTTAATGAATACTTTCCTGTAAGCAAGATGTTCTAAATGTGATGACACAGCAGATTTTAATACCATAATAATTATGGTTCAGATCATTCTTAAACTCCATTATACAGGATGAATGTGACAGTGTCACATGTCAGTATACATACAGTGGCTTTGCACTGCACCCCGAAATACCATCTGCGTATCATTACATTTACAGGGTGTCATCTGTGCCCCTTTGCTCCCCAGTTCTTATGTTCCTTTGGTCACTGTGGTGTTTTGTACATGTGCTCTGGATGCAAGAGCCCCCTACTGGCAAAGGAGAGAATGGACTACAAATGGTGGAGGGTCATGTGAGGAACAAAAGGGAGTCACACCCAGCTCAGGGGCCCTAGGGCTTGTTTCCCTTTGATGGACCTCAGAATCTCACTGCCTCTTGTGTGAGGGATGGTGAGGGGGTGGGTGATGGCTTCAAGGGTGTCATTGAAGGTGACATTTGGCATTAGAGTCCCAGAACGGCAAGTGTGGCCCTGGGGAACAAATGGCTGTCACAGAGCTATACCCCAGACACCCGCTGGATGACAAAACACCCATTACAGGCATCGCATCTGGATGGAACAATCCGGAATGTTTTAAACGCTTCCTGTGTTTGAGAAGCCTAGGGTGAGCGATTAGCAAGATTACGGAAGTTGCCAGCCAGACTGTAAGGTTATAAATCAGCTCCAGGCCCCTGGGGCAGTGGGCCGACCCAGGCGGAACCAAGATGGCAGTACACTGCGGCTTCTGGTGAACCTCAAAGCAGAGATGCTGTTCCAAAGCCTCACTGGTGACAAGTGCTTGCATCATGGGCTTCAGGACGTCATACCAGGATTTTTCTCAGTATTTCATGCCACCCTTTGCTAAAAGGCCTGGTACATCTGCCATATTCCATTTCTGGATCGTAGATTTCCCCTGCTATGGGAATGCGACAGCTGAATCGACCTCCAATACCCCCCATGAACAAACTACAGGCAGATTAGCTTCAACAACATTCTTCACGTAAACACACTTAAATATACCCTAAATAAATTCACCAGTTTAACACATGGATTATATCAATACGGCTTCTACTAATAAGCATTATTTATTATTTAAAAAGTCACAGCTTCGTTTGTTGGGATATATCCAATTTAATAGTTTTTAAAAATCATGATACACAACTCCTTAAAACAGAAATTTTAATAATAATGGTTTTCCATAGCCTTAAGTGAGCTTTTTTTTTTTGGTGGGGGGGGGGGGGGCATGCTTAGTTGGTCCTTGTGGTGGGTGGGGGTCATGGTCCCCAAGGGTGAAATGACACTGTGGCTCACTTGTTGACCCTGAAAACCAACAACCTTCTGATCACAGGCACAGTGTACTAACCACCTGAGCCACCCAACTCTTAATATTCAGTGGCATCACCGCGGGTACCACAGGAATGTACCTCAACCTCAACCCAAGTGGAAATGATTACAGAAACAAACAATTAATTCATCTCAGCCAAGGGGGTTTAATTTTCTGAGCTAGTAAATGCAGGGCAGGGCTTAGGGAGGAATTTTGGAGTTGTCCCAAACTCTATGGGGTCTCTCCTCTCTGTGCCCCCTGCAACCGCCCTGAGGGAAGCATGGCGTACCTGCTCAGTCGGGCCGGTGAAAAGCCGGCATCAGCGCGAACCTCAGCAAAGACGGACGTTCGCGATGTACCCGACTGTCTGACGAACTGCCGAGACCGGGCTGTGACAGAAAACCCGCCCAGCTCTCAAATACACACATTACACATCTTTCTAAACGACGATACAAAAACACTAAATTCAGTTTCTCATAACCACGTGCCACGATTATCAGAAGCACCTCACTGGATATCGATCACGTATTTTATGATTAAACAAGTATGTTTGCAAAGTATTGTGTTTTATGTGCTTTTTGGATACATATTATACTGGATTCTTATGGTTCAACGAACTTAAGATTAGAACAGGTTACAAAAAGTAATTCAAAGTTTTTCAAAAGTTTGCATTAAATGAATTTGTACGTTTAAGAACTGACCCGTCTCGTGGTATGTCACATTTTATGGGAAACATTATTATTATTATTATTACAACAAACGTTATGATTATTATTATTAATAATAATAATAATATTATTATTATTATTATAGGTATTAGTTATTTCTCATGGTTATTCTAAATGGAGACGTAAGCTGCATCACTCACCCGGCATAGCGGCCGTCGTATAGACCCGCGCTGGCTGGACCCAGAAAGCTGCCGCAAATCATCGCGCATCGCAGTATATGCGCCGGGCGGACGGCGCGTCTGCCGCTCGCTGTCATAATAGGTGAGTACTGGCTCACGGTCCTGATCCAGAGCAGATCAGCGGGATCAACTGGACCAAGAGGATCAACAGGTCTGCGAAAGAGGCTGCGCGGCGTGGACTGACAAAGTGCAGCCGCAAGAGCCGCGCAGATGGAAACGCGGGGCAGGGGGGCGGCGGCGGCTGTCACGTGACCGGGGGCCGTAGCTCTGGGCGGAGCTACGGACTCTTGTCTCCATTCTTTATAACTTTTTTTTATTATTTTGGCAAACCCGTCCCAACATATGGACAGTGTTTATTCATTTAACATTTTCACATAAATGCGCACATTCTCGTGATTTTTTTTTTTGGTTAGTTGAACTTTTTCGTATTCATTATGAACACTGCTTATTCTCTATTACTATCAGTACTATCAAACATTCAAAATTAAATGTAAACAGAAAATATGCACACTATGAAACATTTAAATACCCCGAAGAAGCGTAAATGAGGTCGGTGTTCACGGTCCTATGTCCCTTTCTCCCCTGTGTTTTCAGTAACTGAATCAATTCGTCTTAGGCTTTTCAAGTAGGCATTAAATTGGGATAAGTATTATTTTACGAAAGTAAAACATGTTAAGTGCAATAAAGAAAAACTGCCGCACTTTTAGTGTCGCCATTTATCAAAGGCTTAAAATACACTGATTAGTATTTTAATGTTGTGTTTCCAAACACAGAATAGAACAGACTGTGTGTGAATGGGACCCCTTTTTTTGCTTTATTCGAATGCCACAGTCAAGCCTGTCCTTCTAAGAGACCACCAAAAACTGACATCTATAGAGCTTCAAAGTAGGGAGCCGCATGGGAATGATATAACTATTCATAAAAAGGCATAACACATTATAGTCATGCGTAATATGAATGCTCTATGAAGGTTTCATGTATAATACACTATAAATAGGCTGACTTCATAATGCAGCACAAAACATCCTTAATTGTTATGCTGACCATTATTATGCATTATGAAGGTATTCAAAGTGCATCCCAGCTAACAAGCGACGTCACCGTGACGTTTTTGGACGTCCGATTTTGGTCCGCTAGGTAATTAACGTTTCATTCACAACGTTAGGCGGACGTCCGATTTTATTGATAAGCTTTGCTTACATATTTTCCATGTTCGAGAGCAGTGCACATAGTAGTGCGTTTCTCGTTTATTTAGACAAATTGTTCTTCTGCAGCCCTGTACAGCCTAGTCTATAGTCATGGCCAAAGTTTTGAGAATGACACAAGTATTGGTTTTCAAAAAAATTGCTGCTTCAGTGCTTGTAGATCTTTTTGTCAGATGTTTCTATGGTATACTGAAGTATAATTACAAGTATTTCATTAGTGTCAAAGTCTTTTATTAACAATTACATTAAGTTTATGCAAAGAGTCAATATTTGCAGTGTTGGCCCTTCTTTTTCAAGACCTCTGCAATTCGCCCTGGCATGCTGTCAATCAACTTCTGGGCCAAATCCTGACTGATGGCAGCCAATTCTTGCATAATCAGTGCTTGGAGTTTGTCAGAATTTGTGGGTTTTTGTTTGTCCATCCGCCTCCTGAGGATGGACCACAAGTTCTCAGTGGGATTAATGGGGAGTTTCCTGCCCATCCATGTTATCACTTTTGCCTTATGGCACAGTGCTCTGTCATGCTGGAAAAGGCATTGTCATCAAACTGTTTTTGGGTGGTTGGTAGAAGTTGCTCTCAGATGATGTTTTGGTACCATTCTTTATTCCTGGCTGTGGAAGGCAAAATTTAGGCATAATTGTGAGTGAGCCCACACCCTTAGCAGGAGAAGCAACCCCACACATGAATGGTCTCAGGATGCTTTACTGTTGGCATGACACAGGACTGACACTGGCATAGCATTACTGATGGCAGTGTTCAGCTTTTCTTCTCTGAACAATTTCCCCAAACAATTGGAAAGGGGATTCATAAGAGAAAATGACTTTACCCCAGTCCTCAGCAGTCCAATCCCTGTACCTTTTGCAGAATATCAGTCTGTCCCTGGTGTTTTTCTTGGAGAGAAGTGGCTTCTTTGCTGCCCTTCTTCATACCAGGACATCCATATCAGCAGGTGCTTTAGTGGCAGGGCTGAATGCAGTGGAAATGCGTTTTTTGGGATTAAGTTCATTTCATTTTCATATTTGTGTCATTTTCAAAACTTTTGGCCATGGCTGTACACTGCCACCAGAATAAAAGAACAGAAGGATTTATAATTAATAAATTCAATTCAATTCAATTAAATTCAATTCAATTAACTTTAATATAGTGCCTTTCACAACAGAATCCCCTCAAGGAGCTTTACATGGGTGTGTTGATACATTACAACATCATTAGAGAGAGTAATACAAAACAGGGAAAAGAAAAGACAAAGAAATTAAAGAAAGAAAGCAGATGGCAACAGAAGAGAGGAACCAAAAATTCCCAAATAGGGAGAAAAAAACTTCTGGGGAACCACAGTCAACTAGCTGTCCAACCCCCCCCGGGCATGCTAACATTATTGAAAACAGAAAAGAATGGACTTGCTTGCTAAAGGCTAGGTATAAGCTGTGACTAAGACCAAGCCAAAGTCCATCAATGGGTCTAATATAGCACTGCACCCAGACTGCAGATGCTTATTCGATGGGATGCCATTTCCATGACAGCATCACATGACTCATCACAGTTACTCTGTTATAACGTCTTTCATTCGGTGACATTGTCATTCAAAGAAATCGACATTTCTGACCTGCACTGTTTTCCTGAAGACCCTTGTGCAGCTTGTCCTTCTGCTCTGCTGAAGCTGGATAAGCCTGTTTGCTTAGCCACCACGCTACGTTCAGGTGCTGCACAGCCTGTTAAAGTCCAGCACCAAGGTCTGTCTGAACTGGAAACCTTCCCAAGCAATCCATGACTCCACATAAGTGAGTGTGACACAGAAAATCATCTACTCTTTTAACTCCATGTTCAGGAGTCCTGTAGGACAATGCAGTCCTATACTGTACATACCGTCATTAAAGTTATATTACAGCTAATGAGCAATTTATTTGTCTGGCTTTGGCCTTATATGCATGAATTTATTAATGATTCATTTTTATGATATTCTACATTTATTAGCCACAGACTTTCTGTATAGGGCACAGGGCTGGGTTACACCCAGGACAGGATGCCAGTAGCACTGAATACAGCATTTCAAGACTTATCTGACAGAAAGACATTATATCAGAGTGCGAAACAAGACCCTCCGGGGCGTCCCTGCTCTCCTGCACTCGGGGAACACAGCAGACATTCATGCTGCCTTGATTCCTGCCCATTCCCAGTTTGCGGAGAAGTGAAAATTTCCTTCATAAACACAGTCCCCGGTTGCCAGGACAGCCTGGACGATGGCTGTGAACTGAAGCTGTCTTGTTGGATGGCCAACATGGACTAAGAAGAACCTGGCTGGGATGCCAGTGTGCCAGTGCTGCTCCCAACACTGGAGAAATAGTCAGAGCACTGGTGGGGCCTAATCGGAAGACCCTGGCAATCATTTCAGGTTTCTGTGGGTCTGGTCTTCTGCAAGATGATCTCTAATGCATCCCTATAGAGAAGGCTTTAGTCGGAGTGTGTAATGTGTGTAGTTAATGTTCTGAGAAATGTAAGTGTGCCCAATAGCATCTGTATTCCACAGGATCTGTACCCCTGTGTCTGTACTCCGCAGTGTCTGTACCCCTGTGTCTGTACTCCACAGTGTCTGTACCCCTGTGTCTGTACTCCACAGGATCTGTACCCCTGTGACTGTAGCCGTCATGGTCTGTACTCCACAGAGTCTGTATCCCACAGTGTCTGTACCCCACAGTATCTGTCCCTCTGTGTCTGTAGCCCTCAGTGTCAATACCCTGCTCTGTCTGTACCACATAGTGTCCATAACCTGCAGTGTCTGTACCCAGATGCTTCTCCGGAATCTCTATAGCTGCTGTAGTCGGTCTTTCATCAGAGCAGATTTCTGAATTACTAACAAATCAAAGCAAGTAGAAAAGCTCCAGTTCATCTTGCTGCAGCATCATTAAGGACATTCCTCCTGAAGCAGTCTGACAAATAAAGGTTTTTACAGGGTTACAGAGAGCCAGACAGGACAGTTCGGGGTCACATGTCACGGCATGACCTCACAGGGCTCACTGCTATCAATTAGCAGATTAAAGCCACTGGAAGGGATGATGGATGAAGGAGTCTGGCTCCAAACACCAGGGAACAAACACATGGAGCGAGATGTTTCTAATTCAGAGGAGCAGACAGCCCCATCCTCTGGTGGCCCCCCCGGGATGTTGATTAAACAGGCTTGTCAGACCATAGCAAATATTTATTGTAGTGTTTTTCTGAGAAGTTTCTTTTTGGTTTTATAAATGTAGAGTCCATCTTGAAGGCAGGAGGTGCCTGAGTATAGCTGTTAGTTGCTTTCTCACTTAAGATGCGTTTTAACCCTTTTTTTCTGTGCAGTAACTCACACATCTGCTCAGATTTGAGCTTTTTTGATCTGAGCCCATGTCCTTCTGAAATCAGGTTCTCAGGCAGCATGCCGCACCTTTGCATTGACACCTTTGAAGGTTCGAGCCAGTGGGTCTCTCATCTGACAGCATGGTTTTAGTGTAAATGTTTACTCAAGCAAGGTCATATGAGCAGAATCATTGTCTTACTAGTCCTGTTTTTCTGCAACACGGAGAGAACCATGTATGTTATTAAAGGTAAGTGTTTGTTTAGAACTATTTTCTGTTGTTCAGAATAATTATTTATTTTTATGGTAAAACAATAGAGCAATAGACAATATTATATTAATTACTAATTAATTAATTATTTTGGTCAGAAATGTGTTAGTAGGTAAGAAAGACATTTAGTAATGCTTAATCTTGTATTCATTGTATTCATGACTTCATGGGGTGTTAAGGTGCATGCTTCAAGACTTCCTGATGTGTACATTGTTAATAAATGCATTAACTCATGGTTACTGTGGCATTAGTTCATTTATTAATATATGCTTATTTGTTGACCAGTATTATAAAGTGTTACCATCATTTTATCCTCCTTCTTTTGAACTTCATGTAATTTATTTTTAATTTATGATGATTGAAAAAGAATATAAAGCTGAAAACCAGGCCCTTTCTGGCTTCATGCAGTTATTCTCTGGGTCGGAGGCGGCTTTCAAACTGCACCCGTATTCCTGGTACACCACCCATTAGAACCTACATATAGATTTTACACACGGAGGCACGTGAACCGAACCGAACACTTTAAAAAGCCGCTTGCTGATGTAGGGCTATGTGGTGTGTATTAATTGGCTTGACTTCTCTTCAGATCGATAACAATTTCCGTACAGTTAGAGTCAGCTCGTACAGGTGGTCTACACCGGCAGAGCAGAGGTCTAACACAAAGACCAGCAATCTAAAAGCTCTATCCGGGGGGCAGAGGCGCCGCTAGAGATTTTGGGCCCCATGAAAGCATATCATATTAGGCCCCCCAGTCCAAACCAATCCAGTTATTTTCCTAATTTTTTAGGGCTCCTGTCACTCAGGGGCCCTTGGAATCATCCTAGCTTTCCTCCCCCTTACGGCGCCCCTGCCGGGGGGATACAGGGGGTTTTACCCGTTAGACTATGCCGAAGGGCCACAAAGCTCCAGTCTCCAGCTGACAATGAGAATTCTGACTGTGTCACGTCTTTATTTTTTCAAAATTGAGTGAACTGTAAATTTAATTCATTACACTTTTGATTTAATTCATTTTAGCAACACGTAAAAAGATGGGCTGTTGTCATGTGAGATTAAGTGTGATTTTGCAGTGTCAGATTATTGTTGACATCTGATGGATAATTTCAAAAATGTTTTTGCTGAAATCAAATCGTTATTATGCTTGATATTGCACAAGTCTGATGTGAATCTGATTACAGATGTTTAAACACTTGTGCCAAGATTGTACACAGATCCAGTTTCACCCAAATAAAACGATTTAAATTAGCAATAATCCATCCCTGATGAATTTACCGCACACTCATTCATTAAGTAATTGCTAAACGACCCATGACTGATTTCAAGTGTCTGTAAACAAAACTAACTTGTTCATTTAGAAGCCATTAGGCTCAGTGCCTGAAGCACATGGACCCTTTATATCTCAAACACCTACATTAAATATCGTCTTCATTCTCTGCATCTGATCATCGTGAGGCATTACGGCGGGCAAAACCCTCAGGAGCGGTGGGTCTCAGCTGAAGTCCTGGGGGGCTGCAATCCCCACCACGGTCTGAAGAGAAGTCAAGCAAATTAATACACACCACATAGCTCTGAATCAGCAAGCGATTTTTTAAAGTGTTCTGCTCGGTTCACGTGTCTGTATGTGATTTATCAATACGTAGGTGCTAACGGGTGCTGTAGTAGGAATATGGGTGCAGCGAATACGCGACTGAGTGAGTGAATACGCGAGTAGGTTTAACTAGCTCAGCAACACTGCCACCTATTGCCAAAGAATGTCCTCGCAGGTAGTGCGGCGCGCTTACCTGCCTGTTCGCTTACCAACCTTCCAGCCGCACGTGCAGTGCAGCGTCATGGGGCGCTGTAAGCTAGACATGTTTCTTGTCTTTTAGTTCTTTTAAATTCCATTTCTGACTGATCAACGGCAGGTGGAGAAAACCAGTCCGCTAGTCACTACGCTAGTGTTTTTTTGTTTGTTTGTTTGTTTTATTATATTCCGTTGTGGACTTCTGTGTATTTTACTGTTTTTAAAAATGCTTTTTACTTTTATTCTTGTATTCATCTTTAATTTCTGTAAAGCACGTTGAATGACCTCTGTGTATGATAATGTGCTATATAAATTAACTTGCCTTTCCTTACACACAAGGCTGTAGCCAGTTAGGTCACTATTAAGATCTCGGTAATTTTTTTAAGAGCTAAAAATATAATTTGAACTCAGTCTCACTTTTGAATATTTTTGTTGAGGCAGTTATCTGAGGAATAAGGGCTATTGAAGACCACCCTGATGCTTGATGTGAACATGCTGAGACCAGGAACCTTACTGCAGATTGTCTGAAATACGATTCTAATGAAGTGTCTGATTGTTCCAGGTGACCCTGTACTAGAAATGCGAGGAGAAGATAGATGCTGTTTCCGGATTCATTTGCGTAATTAGTGTGGAGACAGAGAGAGGCAGTAGCACAGTGACCTTAAACACAGCAGGAGCACCGATGTATTTATGTGGTGCTGGTCCTGAGAGGCTGCATCATGCAGACAAACTCTGGTACAAATTTATTTGGCCAGCAGCTCCTCTGGGGAATCACAGCGGGCTGTGGAGGTAATGATCCATAGTGACTGAATGGGGCTGGCTTCCGCACTGGCTTCCGACTTATACATTACGCTACTTCCGGCTTACTCGCCTTATTGTAATGGAGTGCATTTACATTTAGTTATTTGTTAGATGCTTTTTAAGGGTGAGGCAGATATAGATAGAAGTGTATGTCTGTCAAGGAGCCAGTTTTGGTACAAGTGTGACTAGGCTGAGCTTTCACTGATTGGCCAGACACAAGTCAAGTTAGCCGTGTTAGAAAAGGCAACACAAAATGAAACGGTGCTTTGTTAGCATGGGTTAATTGGAATTGCTCCGTTTGTCCCTCATTCTCTTCTTTTTAAGACTCTCTCTCACACACAGACACACACACATACACAGACGTACCTGTACTCATATCTTGGTGGGGACCATCCATACATTTCTGTGGGCAAAACCTTAATCCCAACAATGACAATGTTAACCACTACCCAGCCCTAACCTTAACCGGAATGAACCAAACAAAACACGAGACTTTTGGCATTTTTATTTTTTTGATTTCATTCACAGATCTTCGTGGGTACCTGAGATATCGTACCCTCAACATCAACATAGCTGGTTTTTATTACATTGTGGAGAATATTTGGTCCCCACAATGTAATATAGACATAATCCACACAAACACAGACAAATACACACATACGCGCACGCGCATGTAAGGTAAACATATCCTTATGGGGACCACTCATTCATTTCAATGGGAAAAATGCTAACGCTAATTATGACAACCTTAACCCCTACCCTGCCCTAACCATAACCATAAGTAACCTATCAAAATACAAGAATTTTTGCATTTTTAGTCACCGATTTTTATAAAAAAAAATGGATATTTATCACGTTCTGGGGACATTGTGTCCCCATAAGGATAGGTATACCCGCTCGCACACACACACGCACACACACGTACAGTTGAGAATGACGTTCGGGGTCTGAGTGCAAGCTCAGCCACTGCAGCCCCGGAGCATTTCAGGTGTCACTATTCTGCTGAGGCCAGGGCTTCAGCCAGAGGCCCTCCAAGCGCAGGCAGAGGTCAGATCTACCAAGCCACACACCACTCCGCGCAATAGCCTCACATTTAAAATGGGAAATGCTTTACAGTTATCCATAAGTGGGCAAACTTAGATACAACGTGCACAAACAATCAATACATGTTCCCACTGGATATTCAGTGCACTGGACTCCATCCCAGGAAGTTCAGGGTACAAAGTTGGGACACCCAGGACACCGTGACAGTCCATTTCTGAGCACAAACACACGATCCTGCACAATACAGAGAGAACGTGCAGATTCTGAGGTTACAGTGCCGTACAGTGGTTCTACTCTGTCTGAATTAATCAGTCAAACTGATTCAAATCAGCTAGATTTATTAGATTTTTTTATGCCATTCAATAGATAGTCCCGTCCTTAGAGTAATATAATGATAATTTTGCTACCGGAGTAGACACGCTGATTTCTGGCCACTGAAGGAGGTCCCTGCTTTCTATGATGGAGATCGTCACTAGCAGTAGGAGTTCGCTACAGGTAATGTTCTGACACAGCTGACTGTAATGTTAAGATTGAACACTAGAGGGCACTATTTATCACGAAATTCACGCTATATCATAATGTAGAATTTTTGATGACTGAAAATGAACGGTGTTATTCTGATCAAATTTCTCACATTCAATTTGATATAGGGGGCGTGAAACAATTAACATTTCACCCAGTGGTCACCTTCTAAGGGACCCCTATGTAGTATCAGATGCATTTTATCTCCAGAACCACAAGGAGACGAGTTGTGTGTTCAGAGATGCCTTACCACACACTACTGTAGTTCTGAGCAGTTATTTTTGGCCTTCCTGTTAGCTGTAACGAGTCTGACCATTCTCATATGACCTCTCTCATTAACAAGGTGTTTCCGGCCACAGAAATGCCATTGACTGGATGTTTTTTGTTCCACACACCATTCTATGTAAACTCTAGATACTGTAGTGCATGAAAATCCCATGAAGGTGGCTGTATACCTAATGAAGTGAGCACTGAGCGCATATTATAGGCCTATGTAATGTAACACAATTCATTTATACAGGACATGAGTCTCTGTGATTCTGGATGCGGCGATGGATACATATGGATGTATTCTTCATGTAGAAAAATGTTAATTCCGATATGAAGTCAGCTTGTCTAAGTTAGTTTTCTTGATCACCGATCAGTGTCTACTGGTATTACCCCTGCATTACGAATTAATTTACAACCGAAATATATTTCTATAGCGTAGGCCTATAGTAAAAAGACATATTTAAATCACCCAAAACCTGAAACAGACTTTGAAAAGAAATTTCGAAAAATCAAAAAAGTGAACACAAATTGTATATAAAATATGTATATACAAATACAGTATGTTTATAATTGCGGTATAAACTGATATTATAAAGATAAAATATAATCTTCGTTTTGACTGAAATGCACAGCAACAGCAATCATTTAGTGCATTGGAACTCTGTTTATATGTATGTAACTTAGTAGGATGCTTTTTGTTGGGAGGAAGCTGTGAGCGGATGCCCCCCCGTCCCATTCCATGTCCTGAGTGGGGCGGCGGGGGGCCGGACCAGGGCTCCTGTCCGTCACATGGACTCAGCGTCCCGGCTCCAGTCCCCTTCACTCTCCAAGTCGCGGGCTGGTCGCCGCTGCGCTTTATACTCGGCGTATTTAACGATTTTATTTCACTTTTGCGGTTTTCTCTGTGCAATTTCTGACCTGGGGAACCTGCCATGTAGTTTGCCCGGATTTGCGCCGCTTTGCTCACTCTGGGAAGTTTAAGGGAGCAGCAGAGAGGAGCACGGAGGATGACGGAGGAGGAGCGCGCGGACGGCGGCCGGGACACCGACAGGCAGCTGCGCCTGCGGGTCTGCGTACTGCGGGAGCTGCTCGGTACCGAACGAGACTACGTGGGCACGCTGGAGTTCCTCTCGGTAAGTCTCAGCTGGGCTTCGATCGTCACACATCGGCACATAACATTAACTCTAATGATCACTGACAGGGCAGGTAGAATCATCGTGCCGATACTGCGGATCCGTGCCCAAGCGGCTTTCACGGTTAAATCAGACAGATTAACGCGAAAACGTCATAAAAACAAAAGCATTATAAATGCTTGGAGGGAGCTGATGGTTGAATGAAACGAGCGTCCTCGGTTAAAACTGACGCGCCAGGAATGCGTAAAGGTCCATCATACGGTCCTGGATCCGGATGGGGCTGCTCAGCTCGGGCGCCTTTCTCTGCTGACCCCCGGCTTTTGCAGATTGGAAAAGCGCTCTTCAGCTTCTCACTCATGCATTTGCGTTGATAGAAACATCGCTTTAGGAAAGTTAAAATCATTTGCTGGTCATAGGCTCTGTTACTTAGGTCTCCCTGCATCCAGAAGAGAGTGGGCGCTGCTGTTGGTTAGTGAGGTTAGTTAACACAAAGACGGTTATCACTAATGACAACGATGATGATCCGGCTTGACAGAAGAGAAGCTTCTGTAGCTCGAGAAGTAGGGTGTTGTGCTAACAATAAAAGGGTTATGGGCTCAAATCCCGCATACCTTATGACCCTTCCCTCTAATGTGAATGACTCTAGCTAAATGAATGTTTAATGTTGGGTTCCACATTGTGCAGGCAGGAGCAAAACTAAGACTGTTTGACCTGGCATTCAGGTCCCTTAAATGTCAGGCTTTAGAGAAGCAGTCATGAAAACTTCATAGTATAACACAGTATTTAATGGGCTGGTGACAAAATGGTGGGCAAGTGAGGAATTATCAGTCTGTAACCAGAACTACAGGTAATGTAATTAGTTTACACTATTATATTAATGGCCATCTCTGATTTGATTGTTTCACTTTGTTGTATATATGAAATGAATGTCCCATGTCCCAGCAAGGGGGTTTCTCCTTTTGACGGTGCCCATACAGAGCCACATAGAGGTGGCCCCAGAGGATTTTGCCAGTAAGCAGATGGCTGCGATAGCCTTTGTGTACTTTAAATGGCTTCCCCTGTGCTTTCCGAATACTATGGGAACGTCGGTGGGAAGTCAGATCGAGCGAGCCGAGTTACATGTCGTTTGGGAGCTAAATTCCCAAAGCCCTTGTGTGGCTGCATTCCATTCCCCTCCATCCCGGTATTCCTGACCACAGACACTTATAATGGTGACATTGTTGTGCTTTAGAGACGTGTCCATATTCAGATGAATGGCTCGTTAACACTTGGACCTCATTTGTGGGTCCGGCTTTTGCAGCTTCGCCTCCCGCCTGAGGTTGTCTGCAGAACAATAAGTCTCCTGCCAGATAAATATGGAAATCAATAACAAGTGTGTTTAATTTTCATTAAATTAAAGATGGCAGAGAATTTGGCATAACCTGCTTAGGTTATTCTGTATTTATGGTTGGAAGGCTCATTGTCAAGTTTACACGTCTCAGAGTTGGTTAGAGACTTTCTCTCTGAGTTTGCTGTTCCTTTTGACACCTCAGATTTGATTAGAGAATCTCTATTTACTGTTC